TACCATAATAATAAACAAAAACAATAACCCAACCCACCCACAGTTTAAAAGGCCATAGGTAAAAGGAAAAGGGACTCCTGACCATTAGGTCCAGTCATGGCCGACTCTGGGGTTGCGGCACTCATCTCGCTTTATTGGCCGAGGGAGCTGGCATACAGGTCATGTGGCCAGCATGACTAAGCCGCTTCTGGCGAACCAGAGCAGTGCACGGAAACGCCGTTTACCTTCCCGCCGGAGCGGTACCTGTTTATCTACTTGCACTTTGATGTGCTTTCAAACTGCTAGGTTGGCAGGAGCAGGGACCAAGCAATGGGAGCTCACCCCATCACAGGGATTCGAACCACTGACCTTCTGATCAGCAAGTCCTAGGCTCTGTGGTTTAACCCACAGCACCACCCATGTCCCTTTAAAAGGCCATATAATGTTTAATTAGCCACAGGCCCGGAAGAATTATATAGGGTTGCTGTATTTCAATCCAGACAGAAAAGCTGTTGAGTTTTTTTCTAGGTTTTTGCAAAAAAGTTTTTGAGTTTTTAAGGGAGATCGCCAAAAATCACACTGCCGACATGGGTTGCCAGATGGTTAATTGCTGGCTATGTCTGGGAAATTCCAGATGTATGGCAACCGTAGAATGATATAACCACAGAATTGTAACGTTGGAAGGGACCACAAGAGTCATCTAGTCCAACCACTTACAATGTAGGAATCTTTTGGCCAATGCAGGGCTTGAACCCACAACACTGAGATTAAGAGTCTCTTGATTTACCAACTGAATTATCCAGATAAATGTTTTTGCCCAATGCCTAAAGAAGTGTAATAAAGGCACCAGGCAAGCCTCCCTGGGGAGAGCATTTCACAAGCAGGGAGCCACCACAGAAAAGGCCTATTCTTTTGTTGCCACCCTCTGGAGCTCTTGCAGAGGAGGTGCGTAAAAAAAGGCCTCCAATGATGATTCTATGGTCTGGGTCAGTTCACATGGAGGGGGGGTTAAAGAACAACTCATTAGATGAGTTAGTGGTGGTGCGTAGAGTAAATTTAAAGGACCTGGCCTGCACCAGGTTGAATCAAAAACATGATTCTTTCTGCTCCCCTACTTGGTCCCTTGCTCTGCTCATATTAGTGGTCTCCATTAGCTGATGTACTTAGTTGTTTTACTAGCTCATGACTGAGATTTGCAGGTTGCACCAAATTCCATTTAGTCAGAAGTGAGTCTCACTAAAAACAAGAGGACTTTTTCAAAGCAAACATGGTGGTTGCCATGCAGGCACCTGTGTTAAATCAAAGCCCCACTCCCAAGGTCTTAAAGCAGATCTATTTTGTGGATTAGGCTGCCCAGTTTCAAATAGCCAGGAGACAAGATTCAGACATCTATGTTACAACAGATGTCATCAGTAGCTCCTCAGATTTCTTTATTTCTGCTGAACAATTTAGTAGGAGGTGAGAGGTTAACTGAGAATCATGTCTTTCTTATACGTAAGCCAGAAAGAAATGGCATGACCCACATAAGGCTAAGCACTCTGAAGTCTCATTCATGGAGAATTAGCCTGCAATCTTATATCTGCCTACCTTGGAATAAGTCTCATTGAACTCAAAGGGTAGAAATGTATGGGACTGCACTGTCAATGACAAATTATTTTAAAAAATATATAATTACCATCCGATTTATTACCTGCCCTTCACCAGCAGGTCACAGGGTAGGTTGCAGCAATATTAAAAAAAAAGTCTTAAAACAGTTTAAAAACAATCTACAGTCACAGCCTGCCCTCTCCCAAGCCAACCTCACAAACTACTCTGCTAATCTTAACATCCAAGAAGGAAGCAGTCATTCAGATATTTAGTGTCTAAGTAATTTAGGGTTGTAACCACTAACATGAGCACCTTCAGCTGAGCAAGGAAATCAGCTGACAAATGGCAGTTGTATTAAAACAGGGGTTATAGGAGTCCTAATTGAAACCCCAGCCTGTAATCTGGGCATTGCATTTTTGACCAATTGAAGTTGCTGAGTCATCCTCAAGGCACACAGAGAGCATTGCAATAATCCAGTTACCACAGCATGCAATACCATAGCCAAGTCATCTTTGCTCAAAGGGTCTAGAACTAGTGAACTAGCTGGAGCTGGGGAAAAGCACTAGTAGCCACCAAGGCAGCCTCAGTATCGAGTGTCAAAGGTATTTAACACTCTCGTGAAAAATCAAAAGAGCTTGAAAGTCCTTGACTCTGGGTGGATTAGGCCCATGGTACAGTGGTACCTCAGGTTACAGACGCTTCACCTTATAGACTCTGCTAACCCAGAAATAGTACCTCGGGTTAAGAACTTTCCTTCAGGATAAGAAGAGAAATCGTGTGGCAGTGGCGCGGCGGCAGCAGGAGGCCCCATTAGCTAAAGTGGTACCTCAGGTTAAGAACAGTTTCAGGTTAAGAATGGACCTCCAGAATGTATTAAGTTCTCAACCCGAGGTACCACTGTACTTTACAGCCTAGTACCTGTGGGTGGGTGCAGAAAGGTATTATGGGTAAAATGCATACTAATGAAGTGATCTCATCTGTCAGCATTTTCATTATTGGCTCCCAAGTTTCCATGAAGTTGTGGGGGGTATCTTACCTCCCTTCCTCTTGAGCAAAGTTTCTTGAGCTTTTGCTTCAACCTTCCTCTCTCACCTATCCCAGTCCTACCACTCAGCTGTAAAAATATCCCCTACTGTAACAGAGACCTGGAGCCCCCAGTGGACACCAACAGATGTCTTGATGGGTGATGAAAGCTGGGTCTGTGGCGCTGCCAGTGGAAATTGGCTCAGGTGGCGGATGCCGTCATCCATCAGGGCTCTGATAGCTACTTGGTCATTGGCAAGAAGCCATGGGCTTCATGCAACCAGAAGTGTAATCTGAAGCTCCCTTTGGGAGGGGGGGCGGTTGGACTGGGACTCTTTCATCACTCTGTGCAGTGATCTGGCCGGCTGCTCCAGTCACATGAAGGCTGTTGCCAGCAGAGTGGATCCCAGGCCAGGAAGCATTTTCCTCATCCCTTTGCTCACATACTGAGACAGGATTTTAGATTTTCAGGCTCCTCACTTGGATGTTGTAACAAGCTCCATTGATTTCTTGTGGGAGTTGCTTTCAATTGATTCTTGTTAGGACCACAGCTTTCAAAACAACCATAACCGACTTCCAGTTTCTGCAGAAGGACAGGGGGACAGTCTCTCATCTCTCCCACTCTTTGGGCTCAGACCCAAAGCCACTGCACCATATTCCACCCACCCCTTTTGCTCTTATGTTTGTTCTCGGCACACTGAAATGTTCCATGAGTTTTGGGCTACAGTTCTGAGCAAACTGACTTCTAAAAAAATATGTTTAGCCTTGGGCTGCCAAGTTCATAAAAAAACCCAAAACACAACTCTGAAGAAACGTCATTCGCCTTTGGCAAAAGTCATGATCAATGGGAATTTAACATTTCATTGTACCCTTGCTGTATAATTTAAAAATTCATTCCTCTTGTGATTGTTATAAGGAATAACCCTGTTATAAAAGCATTGGACATGCATTTATGCATTAATTTTAAAAAGTATCACCCGCTTTCTGATTAAAAGTCTCCCAGGCAGCTAACAAAACAATGGTATAAAATCATATTGAAAGATATCAAAACGAACTTGTCGAAAACAGCAAGAGGTTGGGGAAGGCCTGCTTAGTGGCTCAGTGCCAATAAGGAAGGAGCCTTGTGCACTTACCTAGAGAGAACAATGAGAGTGCTTATAGGATCTGAAAAAAGCAGATACCACAATGTAAAAAGAAATGTTTTCTTAGGGAAACATGTACCGAGACATTCAGAGCCATTTGCCTTTAAACAGGGAGGGGATACCCCCAAAAGCTGTATCTATAAAAAGAACTAAGTGCTGGAAACATTCTTGGGAAAACAGCTTCAGGCCATACTAACAGGTAACCCATTCCGCAGTTGTAGCTGCTACTGGCCCAATGAGTCAGGACACTAGCCTTCCTGGCTCCGTTGGTGCACCTAGGTCTCTAGTTAGCAGTTAATATGGCTGTTGGTCAGCCATCTGTGCTGAACCCTGAAGTCTTGTGCACCCTTCCTTGTCTTTTCTATAAAAAAAGAAACCTCCTAAGAGAAAGTGGAACTGGAACTTTTTGCTTTTCCTATTGAAAGAAGCTGCTGCTGGATCAAAGAGCCTGTTTTTCTTATAAAGTTTATATTTACAGGTGACTTCATCCAATTGTTTCTCTCCATTCCCCCAGGTTTCCAATATTGTATACCCATCATATCTATGCTCTTCTTTAAAACCAAGTAGACCATTTCCCCCTACAGAGAACAAACAAATTAAAACAGGACTCCTTCAAATAGAGTTGCAAAGGAGGGCATATGGTCACTCTGTGCAGAATTTTGATGCCTATAGTTGATGCTTTCCTACCAAAATAGACTGCTTTATGTATTGCCACCCAGTACTGACAGTTTGAAAGAGATTTCCATATCACAGTACATGGCTAATAGACCCCCCCCTTGGGAATGTGCAAGTAATAATAATAATAATAATAATAATAATAATAATAATAATACTTTATTATTTATACCCTGCCCATCTGGCTGGGTTTCCCCAGCCCCTCTGGGAAGCTCCCAACAGAATATTAAAAACATGATAAAACATCAAACATTAACAACTTCCCTAAACAGGGCTGCCTTCAGATGTCTTCTAAAAGTCAGATAGCTGTTTACTTCCTTGACATCTGATGGGAGGGCATTCCACAGGGTGGGCGCCACCACCGAGAAGCCCCTCTGCCTGGTTCCCTGTAACTTCACGTCTCGCAGTGAGGGAGCTGCCAGAATCCAATAGTTCTGGATTGTTGCCAGTTTCCCCACAAGACCTTTTCTCATAGCTCAGGAGCTCAAGTTAAGCTGCAGAAGCCCATAAGCAAACAAAGAAAGGTTGTGTGATCTCGTACTTTAAAAACTACTAATACTGATGGTTCCTAAAGTAAATGTATTGAAGGATAACTCCTTCCCCATTTATTCTCACAGTAGATCACTGACATTCCCATTCAACTGAAAGGAAATTAAGGACAAGCTCCAGAGTCAGATCAGGAAAATATATGAGTGAGCAGAGACTTGAATTCATGCCTAGGTAAGGTAGTGGTTCCCCTTTTGTCACAGAGAGCTGCTTTTGTGGGCAGTACTTGGGAGAGTGCCATCCACTTTCCACTCCCTGCCTGTCCTTTTCTGTGCCACATGAATCCAGTCACCCACTGCAGCCTGCTAAAATTACCCTGAGGGTCTCAGAGCCTTTTCTGATCCACAGATGAGTGTCTTCCATTCTAATCCTTTGTTCCCTCCTCATAACCATGAGGTTACTTCTGATGGCCACAATAAGAGGGTACCCAGACCTTTCCCAATTAGTGGCGAACCATCTGGCATGCCCCCAGTACCTCCATATGCTTATAAGTATATGGATCTGCTCTCTCTCTCTCTTTAATGCAGTGCCTTAATTTGGTTTTATTTCATTTGCGCTTCCACAGCCCACTTGGCATAGCACACCACAAGCAACTGCAAACTTGAGCAATAATAATAATAATAAATCCTTGCATTGGATTGCTCCTTCCCGTGCTGCCTGCCACATGACTCCCATCAATTTCTGTCAGGGCAATCAGCCAAGCCAACTTTTCGCGAGCTGCTGATGGCAAATTTAGCAGCTGAGTGAGTCTCTCTCTTTCTCTCCTTCTCCTTCCCTGTTCCTGTTGGACCAAGAAAGGAATTAGGTCTTCTTGCCACCTAGGAGGAGGCCATTTCTCATAGTCTGCTTCTTGATGATGGAAGGCATCAACGATATAATGTAACAGCTGTTTTCAGACATCACACCAATTACTGTCTGGTATCCTAGTGGCACCATTTATGTTGGCAAATAAATGGTGGCAGTTTGCAATGGATGTTTCATGGACATCTGTCCATGAAACAATATCCCAGAAGACACTAAGGACAGAGGGGAGAGTCTAATTCAGTGCACATTTAAAGGCAAATCTGTCTAATATGAACTTCCCAAATCAATATTTGGACTGAAATACAGCCATCCTTCAAATTTCTCGTTTCTACAAATTTTGTGATGTATCTCTCCAACCAAACAATGTGTACAAAGCTGCATATACTACTGGAATGTGTGCAATAATGCATATATTGATGGAAACAACATGCAAAAATGTTGCATTAAACTGTGCTTATTAGGAGAAATTTACACTAAAATACTGATGAATTTTCATGACAACTTCAAAAACAGTTTTGCAAATTGATGCGGAAATGTGGAGAACTGAATTTAAGATTGGAAAAATGAGAGACTGAGAGAAACCAAAAGTGGCAGATTTCCCCATCCTTAGAAGATACCAGGAGAGTTTTGCACAGAGCTATAGGGAAGCTGCCACATGTAGTCAGAGGTAGTGACTGCATTGTGAGCAATGACACTAAGTTCAAAGTCTTAGGAATTCAAGAGTGGGGAGCAGCTGGGCAAAAGACCTGGAAGCTTTTGGGCAGAATTCTTGAGGGTTAGCCCTCCTTTCTCCAGTTCTTCTGGATTTCACCCTAAACATTACTGGGAATCTATGGCTACTGCCCATTCTCATTTTCCCCAAAGGAACTTGCAGTTACCTCTAGTGAAAGCGATTCATGCTTTGACAACATCTTGCTCAACATGTCTCCACTCCCACTCTGGTTCACCGAGTGCTTGCAGTAAGCAGAGAAATGCTGAGCACAATGACATGGAGGCCACACATTTCTTTCTTTAGATGTTACAGGGAAAATGCATGGGGAAAATGTGGTTTGGGGGTAGACAAGTATCTCCCATAACATCTATTCTGTTAAGTTTGCTAGACATTTCTGGGCAGAGTCTGGACCATTCTCACCATGTGGAGTATGTGGAGCCAAATTTGAGATTGTCTTCCATGGAAAGCCATAAGTAGTTGTTAGGAGAAGTCCAGGCTCTTCTCACAAAAGGCTGATTTTATTTTACCCCCCGCCCCCGGTCTTGGAGCATCAAGCCTGGTGGGAGCATCAAGGCATTTCTGCTACTTGGGTCCAAGTTACAGCTGAGATAGCATCACATCCTATACTGTGCACAGATCCATTTGACTTACATCCTCATGTTACATTTGGACTAGTGCTGTGCTGAAATTAGTTCCTTGGTTTCTTGAAAGTGTTCTTCCTTTGCAAAAGAGGCTTCCATTTTTCTGCCTCACTCATAGGATGTTTTATAATTTATTTATAGTTTTGGTGAGTGCCGGGTTGCACACAGCGTTCAAAACTCCTATTGTTCTAAGCATGTTTTGCGATAGGGAATTTCATTAATGCAAGCAGTTTCTGAGCTCTGGGCACAGTATTGTGCCTAAGATTTCAAATTAAAACTGTCACTGCCGGAAGGAAAGGAGGACCTTTTTCCCGCCTCCCCACTTCCAGCCACTCTCTGAAGACTGGAGAAGAGACCCTCCTAAGAATTTTAGGGGGGCAGACAGGGGAAGCATGGCTTTGCTTTTTGCAGTCTTCAGATAGGACTAGACCATGTGAAAAATGCACATAAGATTTTAGCTGCAGTTCATTCATTTTCAGCTTTGTATTCTTTTGTAAAAAAACACGCCTAGACACTCCGTTGCAGTGCCCATAACCTAGGTTTAAGGTGCCATTTATTTCCTAGCTTTCATATCTCAGTTTCTAACACTGGTTGCACATACTTTATTGTTATGAGATGGCCCAGGTTTCTATATGCACTTTTCTTTTCATTATGAATCTTTCCAGCTCTCTGCAGCCTCCTCAGTGGGTGCTTTCTGTTCTGAAAAAACTCCAAGGGCATGCTCACTGATTTTGTTTATAAGGGAAATTCTTTCTTTTACCTTTCTGCACTGATTTGTTTTAAAATAAAATAAAAATATTCTTCTTTTTTAAAAATAGCACAACCTGACAGCACTCAGGTACATGATAAGCAACCTCCTCTTCTTACCAACTGACAGGAAATCTAGCTGAGGACATTGTGGAGTTTTCAGGAAGCAGTGCACCTTTGGAAAGCTGAAAAACGCTGACCAACTGGCTGGTAGGTAGAAGGACAAAAACCATAGTGGAGGTGTCTGCCCTCCACTAAGTGGGCTGCAAGCAGAACCCTGAAAGGGAGAGACATGCTTGATTTGTGTTTGAACCCAAGACTGTGGCTATGGGAGAAGCAATGCCTTTTGGGGGTTTTAATATCGTGAACCCCTCCATTGTAGACTCAGGTTGTATATATGTGTAAATAAACCATATATCCAGAAGATACCACAGTCTCTGCTGTCCCTCATTCCGAGGAAATCGAACCCTGGATAAGCCTGGAACCCCAGGAGTCTTGCACTGCTCAAGTCTTGCACAAAATCCCTTGGCCACCTCAGAGTAAGGTAAGCACAATAAACACTCTGCACCCAACCCATAATAATTTCACCAAATCCCCCCTCCCCTTTGATATTTCTCAAATGCAATTACTTATCTCATTAATTGATGGAAGATGGTGGAGAGTGGGGGAAGGCAGAAGAATTTTTTGGCAAAGCACTAATTGGGACATACAGGCTTGTTTCTTCAGTGGCTCTGTAGCATCTATCCTTTGAAGCAGGTGAGAAAAATCCACTCTCCCACTTTGGGTTCCAGTGAAACATGCCTAGATGTATGTGAGCAGAGGCGCTTGTCAAGGCTGTGGTGGGAACCAGCTGCTACTGTTTTTAAGCACATGCTGAAATGGAAACCCTGGTTCCAAGTGCTCCCCATATCCATCCTCCATTCCAAATCCAGATGGTTGCAGCCCAGCTGTAGCCCTGAGTTCTTTGCTTCTTAATGCAAACAGTAACATCTGCCCAGACATTGAGACTGGATGGATGGAGTGGAAGCACAAGGGGGAGGGAAGAGAGGTTGGAAAGAGGACACGTAAAGCACTGCATGTGAAAAATGTAGCCCTTTTGCACAATTTAAGATGAAGCAGTCACTACCCAGCCCTGGAGTTTCTCTCTCTGGTAGGCCAACTGAGCAGTGAATTTAGCCGCAGCACAATGTGTCTGGAAGAAAGAGCCTGAAATCAACCCTAAGTGCTGCTGCTGTTCCTTTATTAGAATCTAAGAGATGAAGGGAGGGTTGGCTGGAGAAAACAGTAATCTTCACACCAGCCCCGACAGTGATGATTTGGTTACTACACGATTCCACATGTCTCAGAAAGAAGGGAGCCAGAGGAGGACTTCACTCTCCATGATCTGGTATTATGACTGGGTTTCGTGATGGCGTTAGTACTGGGAAGTTCTGTGACTATTGAAAACTTGAGAGAAAGGGAAAGGGAAAGGAAGAAATAGTGGAGGAACCCACTGCCGCCGCAGAACGAGCAGTTGCTGTAAGTTTGTTGTACGTGACAAGTAGGGGGATGGATGTCTGTGTACGCCTGCAGTCCCCAGATGTCCTCTCACCACATGATTATCCTCCCCAAGGCTGTGGTAGGGAAGGGGGATCAGAGCAACCTATATTTGGATGGGGGATGTTGAAAGCCTTGTTCTTTACAGGCCTGCCTTGGGTTGGGTGGAGGGGGAGAGAGCGTTTTTTGTGGCCAGATCCAAGGCAAGATGATTCCAATCACTGGCACTGCCCTAGCAGCAAAGGTGCTGATCCACAAAGCAAGCTCACCCTGTGGGTATTACTGCTGGAATTGCAACTCTACTGGTAGTAGTTAATTATTCCACTGCGGGGCTTAGAAAACATAAAATACTAGGAATAAATTATAGAAGAAGAATCATGTCAACGTGTCATAATAGAAGGCAAAGGAAGCCTGTGGCACAGTAAGAATTGTGGGGGCTTACAGGTTGGTTGGTGCTAGCACTTGGTCATTGCAGGTATGTTAGCGGAGGAACAAAATTGCAATGGACTCTCCACCAATTTTAGAGGGGAAACATAGCGGTTGTGTGCTTCTCATGGACGTTGGATTGGCCACTGTGATGACAAGTGCTGGACCAGATAGGCTCCTGGGTTGATCCAGCAGGGCTCATCTTACTTGTGTACACCCAGCTACGTACTATCTACACTAGTTGTGATATACCTGTAATTGTGTACGTTGAGAAGGGACACTTCTCAGCATGCTGTTTCTAATTCTTTTTAAATCAGTTTTTTAAACCAGTTCTTTAAGTTACACTGAAACACTCTATAGTACATTATTACTGTGAGAACCATTTTAAAATGAAATACTAAAAATTATTTTGGCAGTAATTAAAAGCTTGGCAAAAACAAAGCCAAACACCATGCTGCTAAGATGTCACTGAGTGATACGAGATGTTTTTAAAACCAGCGTTTAGATTTGTGCTCACATGCCTTTTTTATTCAAGAGCTGTTGCATAGGTACTTCAATATACAGTGGTAACTGAGGTTAAGTACTTAATTCGTTCCGGAGGTCCGTTCTTAACCTGAAACTGTTCTTAACCTGAAGCACCACTTTAGCTAATGGGGCCTCCTGCTGCCGCCACACCGCCGAAGCACGATTTCTGTTCTCATCCTGAAGCAAAGTTCTTAACCTGAGGTACTATTTCTGGGTTAGCGGAGTCTGTAACCTGAAGTGTATGTAACCTGAAGCGTATGTAACCCAAGGTACCACTGTATATTTTTTAAAGGTCCTAGCAAAAATTAAAAGATGAGCTTTAAAAAGTACACTGAAAAATGGTGCTGATAAGTGAACGTGTGGGGACTTCCGGGGTGGCGCCATCGGTAATGATGGACTCCCTCTGATCCGGAGGGACTGGCTCCACGGGAAACGGGTCTGTTCCGCTACGGCGAAGCGGGGACCCTCTAAAAAATCACAGGCAGATGAAACCTGTGACCATGGGACTCGGCGGGCACCTTTTGCGCCCCCCCAAATTCGTAAAGGAACCCAATTACGGGCTCCGGAGCGAAGAGGGGTTAGTGGTGCGGTGCTGAGAGTCAACTGCTTCTTCCTTTTTTTAAAAAAATGATATTTATTAAAATTTCAGAAACAAAAAATTACATAGTTAAAGAGAAAAGAAACAAGAAAAAAAATAAAAAAGAGAAAAAACATACAAAATACAAAGTACAGAAAAAAAGTAAAAAACACTTAAAAACAAATTAATCCTTCCGTATCTTACATTTCATTTCCTTGCTTCCCTGACCTCCTCTCACCTCCCTTTTTTGTATTCCAGTTCAATTGGTTAATTCAGCAATTCCTTTTTTTTTCCCTTTCCCTCTTTGTTTTTGTCTTAGTCCTTTAACTTAATATATTATAGCTTTAGATTCTCACCTATTAACAATCCATTTTTACATACACCTTTATGACATTGCTGCTAAAACCACTTAACTTCATTCTAACATCATTCTAACATTCATTAATTTTGCAATATTTCTGTAAATAGTCTTTAAATTTCTTCCAATCTTCTTCCACCGACTCTTCTCCCTGGTCTCGGATTCTGCCAGTCATTTCCGCCAGTTCCATGTAGTCCATCACCTTCATCTGCCATTCTTCCAGAGTGGGTAGATCTTGTGTCTTCCAATACTTTGCAATAAGTATTCTTGCTGCTGTTGTGGCATACATAAAGAAAGTTCTATCCTTCTTTAGCACCAATTGGCCGACTATGCCCAGGAGAAAGGCCTCTGGTTTCTTCAAGAAGGTATATTTAAATACCTTTTTCAATTCATTATAGATCATCTCCCAGAAAGCCTTAATCCTTGGGCACGTCCACCAAAGGTGAAAGAATGTGCCTTCAGTTTCTTTACATTTCCAACATTTATTATCGGGCAAATGATAGATTTTTGCAAGCTTGACTGGTGTCATGTACCACCTGTATATCATTTTCATAATATTCTCTCTTAAGGCATTGCATGCCGTAAACTTCATACCTGTGGTCCATAACTGTTCCCAGTCAGCCATCATTATGTTATGTCCAACATCTTGTGCCCATTTAATCATAGCAGATTTCACCGTTTCATCCTGAGTATTCCATTTCAACAGCAAGTTATACATCTTTGACAAAATCTTAGTTTTGGGTTCTAACAGTTCTGTTTCTAATTTTGATTTTTCCACCTGGAAGCCAATTTTCTTGTCCGAATTATATGCCTCCATTATCTGATAATAATGAAGCCAATCTCGCACTTTGTTTTTTAGTTTCTCAAAACTCTGCAGTTTCAATCTATCTCCCTCTTGTTCCAGAATTTCCCAATATTTCGGCCATTTGGCCTCCATATTGAGCTTTTTCTGTGCTTTCGCTTCCATCGGTGACAACCACCTTGGGGTTTTATTTTTCAATAAATCCTTATATCTTATCCAGACATTAAACAATGCTTTCCTGATCATATGATTCTTAAATGCTTTATGTGCTTTGACCTTATCATACCACAAATATGCATGCCATCCAAATACATTATTGAAACCTTCTAAGTCCAAAATGTCTGTGTTTTCAAGAAGCAGCCATTCTTTCAGCCAGCAAAAAGCTGCTGATTCATAATAAAGTTTAAGGTCTGGCAGGGCAAATCCACCTCTTTCCTTTGCATCCGTTAATATTTTAAATTTTATTCTGGGCTTCTTGCCCTACCAGACGAATCTAGAGATATCTCTCTGCCACTTCTTGAAGCAATCCATTTTGTCCAAAATTTGCAATGTTTGAAACAAAAACAACATTCTAGGCAATACATTCATTTTTATCGCAGCAATACGGCCTAGCAGTGAAAGCTTCAAATTTGACCAAATTTCTAAATCTTTTTTCACTTCAGCCCAACATTTTTCATAATTATCTTTAAATAGATTCACATTTTTAGCTGTCATGTTAATCCCCAGGTATTTCACTTTCTTAACCACTGTTAAACCTGTCTCATTCTGAAACCTCTCTCTCTCAATCGCAGTTAAATTTTTCTCTAAGACCTTTGTTTTTAACTTATTCAGTTTAAATCCTGCTACCTGACCAAATTCTTGAATCAGTTCCAAAACCCTTTTAGTACTAGATTCTGGCTCCTGCAATGTCAATACTAAGTCATCTGCAAATGCTCTCAATTTGTACTGTTTTGCTCCGACTTGTATACCTTTAACCAATTGGTCCCTTCTGATCATATTCAGCAGGACCTCCAGGACCGATATAAAAAGCAATGGGGAGATTGGGCCACCTTGTCGTGTCCCTTTTTCTATCTTGAATTCCTCCGTCAACACATTATTTACA